TTGGCAGTGTAATCTTTGATTAACTGGTAACCAAGATATTGGCAAGGTTTTTGAGCAATTTTGGTCCAATCAAAAATCGGCCGGGAATAGCTTTTATACACCAGCATTAATAATCAAGCTATTAAGTAGAAGCCGAACAAACTTCTCATATATTTGGTCAACATGAAACGCCCTTTTTTCATCTTGTACTATCCGAGCGGATGCTCAGAAAAAGTGTAAAAAAACATCACGAACATAGACGTCTGGACTGCGAGGTAATCAAGTCCAATAACGAGAAAATCCATTGCTGCGCGAGCACAATCATTCAACGTCACACTGGCTCAATGTCTTTTGTGCGAAGTTTTCTCCATTCGCTTTTCTTCGGAAATTTCTACTCTTGACTTTTGATTTCTAATGTGGAAATTCTCTTGTTGACGCTGTGAAATTCGCACATCTCATAATACAAATAGGACTTGACGACATTACTATTTCTCCACCCAAACGACATAAAAACAATGTAGTCCAATGCTGTTTGCTTTTCTCTCAGCAATGTTGACCAAATTTGTTTCCTACCTTGCTGAAATGTTATCGATTCCGCATTGTTGCAAGTGAAAAGTCGTTGCTTTGGCTGTTTCTGGCCTTATCTTTCAAGACTCTTTTATTCAGAATCTATGGAAATTAATGGAAATCATCCAGAGGCCGATTATGATACTACAAAATTCCATCAGATTGTAGTCACGGTGGGTTTATTCACTGTTCACTCTCTCACTTCTTTGCATTCCAAATCTATAGATCTCATCTTTTAGGATCCCCAATCGAGCTCATCATGTACATTCACGATCCCAAAACGATACACCAACCTTAGATTTCTTAGTGCGGGTGCCCAAGGAACCGTCGTGTAAGTGGAATCCCTGAAAATCGAAGTAATCCATAAAAGATTTGTTCTACAGCTCTGCCGATGATACTGTGACAGGAACCCCGGTCGCAATCAAGAAAATGCAGCAGCCGTTTGTGATGACTATGAGTGCCCGCCGAGCTTATAGAGAGTTTGTCCTACTAACCACGATTAAGCATCCAAATGTGAGTTTATCCAGCAATTGGTACATTTTGTTTATCACGCGCAATTTACTTTCTTTACTTCCAACTAGATTTCTAAGATTACAATTCCATCGTGCATGAATGTGAAAAATGCTCGAGAAAATTTTTA